TCCCGCCTGTGGGACAAGGGGCATTTGTAATCATCAACTTATAGTGGATTTTTACAACTGGGCCAGACCCTGTGGTTTTTCCTTTTTACGGATTTTCCACGTAAAAACTTATTGTGTGATCACAGCTCGATTCATTTTTATCTGAGTGTGTGCTGAATTCTCGTGCAACGTTAAGACGATAATCCATTACTTTACCGCCACAAATTTTCTTGCACGCATCAGTTTGGCGCCGTCTGTGGGAAAGTTTCAATCTTACAATACAACTAAAGTACTTACACGATTACACGATCTACTACATGGCCACCAGACACAATGTTCGTGATAATGAAGCATCTCGCTCCAACACCCATCATTCCAGGGAGCAGTCACGAAGCCAAGAGCGAGATGCTTCTTCATCTTCCTGCCCTGGAAGACGTGATCCCACCAATGAAGGTGTTTCGGGTCCTTCAATAGAAGATCGAATGCGTAGAATGGAAGAGTCTCAACTAGAGATCCTACAGCTCCTACACGAGGCTCAACAACCACTGCCTCCACCATTGGATGAAATTCGTTTACAATTAACTTCGCGACGTACGAGAAACATGCCACTCGGAGGAACTCGTATTGGCCCGCCTCCTCAAGAAGGAACACATCCCCTATCAGATCGTGATGCTGAACTCCTAGATACAGCAAGTTCCACTCATACATCTCGTGCAGCTCACCCGACATCGCCACATCTTCCTGTCATTCCAGATAATGTCATTCGTAACGAACTGCGACGCCTCGTCCAAGAAGAATTCCCCCTCGAGAAAAAGGATCACTTCTACGTTCGTCGTAACATCCATGAATCTTCTTTCTTAGCGGATGCAGTCCTCCAACATCCCATCCCAACAGGCTTTAAGCTTCTGAGCATCGATACATATGAAGGGACAACCGACCCTTACGAGCATATTGATCATTATCGAACTATCATGTACATTCAGCGTGCTTCTGATGCACTTTTGTGTCAAGTGTTTCCGGCTACTCTTAAAGGACAAACTCGAACTTTGTTCTACTCTCTACCGGGGGGAACTATAAACACCTTTAACGAGCTTGCCAAACTTTTCACGGAGCAGTTCCTCGGATCATCAAGGATCATCAAGGATTCATCCCATCTCTCAGGAATTCGTCAAAATGAAGGAGAGTCTCTCAAAGACTACGGTTTTCTACTGAAGCCCGTCAAATTCCAGGAGTAGATCCAGAGTTACTTAGGGGGGTTTTCCTTGGGGGGCTTCGCCCAGGACCCTTCTACTCATCATTGATGCGGGAGACAGTTCGTTCTTATGCCAACCTTGTCCACCGCGTTGAGACCCAAATCACTGCAGACGGCACATAAGATGCACATAAGAAACAATTTGAGAAATTTGGGGGAAAACGCAAAGGTAACAATGAAGATAATAATCAATCTTCACAACGGAGAAAGTCTGAACAACAGAGGAATCACGACATCCTTCTTCAACCTGCAGGCCAACGAACTGAATATCGACTCAAGAAAGAGTATACACCACGCAACACATCACGTGCTAACATCTTAATGGCTATCAAAGATGAGCAAGCCGTTAAATGACCTCACCCCCTTAAACCTAACTCAGGGAATCAAGAACAATATTGTCATTTTCATCGAAGTCGTGGTCATTCCACCGAAGCATGTAAGCAGCTCAAGGAAGAGATTGAAAGATTAATTAAACAGGGATATCTTGGTCGATTTGTACAAAACAAAACAGTTGATATCGATAATGCTCCTACTGGGGGGCAACATACATCAAGGCAGCAACATGGGGGTCACCCAGTGGTAGGAGAAATTCAAATAATTACTGGAGGCCCATCGATGATTGATCAAGTCCTTGTCACTGTACTTGACGAACTAATACAGAAGAAATTGCGTCTGGAGCCTATAACTTTTGATGATTCAGATTTGGAAGGAGTTTGA